ATACAAAAAAAAAGTTTGACGTGGCTGGTGGTTGCAAGTCCTGCCATTTTTTGCGGGCGGCCCGTCAGACCGGCCTGCTCGATTCCTGGCTACCTACTGATAAAAAAAACTGAACACGATGGCCACCACGCTCTTAATTAGTACAGTTGATGCGTCTATGAGTTCTATTACTGTGTATTATAAGAAAATAGATAGTATCCAGTACATCAAGTTACTCCAAATGTATCATTTCTTTAAAAGATTTTCAACCTTATTTCCTAGGATAAAAGTCGATTAAGTATTATATTGGACTTTGAACTTGAAGTTGTCAAATTTTGTCATCGCATAACGACAGGTGGTGACTTATTTAGAATATGCAATAACAAAATTTTACAAGTTAAGATAGTTAGTTGCACAGTTTGACTGCGCGGTTGGTGGGGTGACTGGGCAACTGGATGCCGTGCAACGGGTAGCGGGTTCGATTCCCGTACGGAGCAACTCTTTATGTCATCCACGAATTGTTGTTCCCGGTCAGTGTGTCATGTGTATGTGAAATTATATGATTGTAAACGCACTCACGACACGTTTTTCTTTAAAAAAAGAAGAATTTAATATGCAGTAGCAATACAAATTGTTCTAGGTACCCATATAGCCAATTTTAGGAACATAACGTAACGGTTACGACGCCTAGTGTGTACACTGATTTACTCTCGACACATAATCTCGTCGTTGTTCCGTGTTAGAGTAGTCGCTACAACTAAAATTGGGGACGAGTCGACACAGTAACATTCGGTTTCTAATTTACGTCGCTGTGCCGTATCATTGTTACCATATTTTAACCAGTTCCGACAAATCATTCACTCAATCGCCCATAATCGCTCATTCGTTGACATTGACTTATGACGTGAATTATTAAAAAAATAATAAACAGCCATTTTATCACCTAGGGAAATAATGGTTTTGTTTTTATTGATGGTTTGAAATACTTAGGTACTCAAATCTTAGTGCGAAATTAAATTCATCGTGTAATTTCGTGGGTAAGGTTGAAATTTATCAACGCGCCACATTATTGTCATAATTTAACTATTCCGACGATAATACACATTGTTTTTATTTTAATGATATTTTTATTTTTTTATCTCAAAAGCGTCTATTTGAATGCAAAAATAAAGTTGAATATTTAATAATAAACTATTTTAGCCGTAATAAACCGTATTAATGATAAATAATGAAAAAATATTTTTTTGTTAAGTGAAAAATATTCTCGTCACAACAAGTTACAAAGTTACGATAATGTGTGGACATGTTACGTAAAGTCGACACAAAGTAACTGAACTTTTAAAATGGTCTCTCTTTGATTTTTTGTCCACAGTTTCCCAAACTTTAGTTTGCCTGACAAAATGTCATATCGCATTGTTTTAACTAAAGAAGGCTCATCTCAATTAATATCCCTTGTACCAAGTGCGTGGGTGAAAGACAACGTCTTTTATGGGCCGCGTAAAAAAAAACAGCGACTTGGAGCTCAGGATGGAGGGTGATAGAACACCGTGCTAGCCGAAAACTGAAAAAAAATAAAATGCAAAGTAAAGGTTAACGGAATCGACACTTTTGCGGAAGGACTCAAATTAGGACTCTTAATTTGTGATTTCGAAATAAAAATCGTTTCTTCTTATGTTTTCATTTTATTATTACCCCTAACTTTGTCAATATCGAAATAAATACCATTTGGGAGTTGTAAACCATAGATAAAAGCTTACATTTCACAAGTGATGTTGCATAAACATTGATATGCGAAGAATTGAACGGTCGCATAAAAAATCAAATTTGTTTTTGATATTCCTTCCAACAATTTTAATTCGCAGAAATAGCGTTTGATATTTTGGGTGGTTTACTCATTTTTTATTTTAATTAAACTGTAAACCGGTAGTTAACGTTAGACAAGTTTGAGAATGACTGGATCTAGTGATTTCCATTCATCCAAGTTAGTCTTAAAGTATTCCGGAACATTGACGTAACGCAACTACACATGTTACCACTCAGTTACTACACATTGTTACCAATATTGTACACTAGTTACATACAATACGCAAAGTGTGTAAATCGTGTGTACACATTTTTTTCTGTAACAAGTCGACACAGGTACAACACCAAGTTACTACAACTACTTTTAGTCACTTTGTTACTAAGCGGTTACGACAAATAGAAGTGCACTCCCACACAGTCGCAATATGTCGTATCAGTTACGAAACTGATGCGACTTGTTACACCTTTTACAAATCTGCGACCAAAAATGGCTATATGGGTAGTTACCCTAATTTTAATCATTTCTGTAAGTAAATATTTACTTTACATTCTACATGATTATATTACCTAACAATCATTGTCAACACTTAAAACCTATCAATTGATGATAAATTATAATGATATTGCAACATTTGCAACAAAACATTTTTAATTTTCAACAATTTACATAACTAGAGATTAGATAATAAAAGTAAGTAGGCACTTATATTATTAAATTGGCACCAAGTATTGATAAAGAATTGAAGGTGATTGAGATAACCTGATTATCCTATAGATGACAGATAGCATAATATTAATCAATAAATATCTTTATTATTTTAAGTAACTGGTACATTAGGTGAGTCAGTTACGGTGGTTGTTTTTTCGAAAATGAATTTTATTGGCGTTAAAACATCATATCCCGAAACATTTATTTTTATGTCGTTCGCCTATTCGTAAAATTGATTCTGACATACAGAAATCTGAATCTAAATGTGAGTTCTAACTTTCATGTGTCAATCGCGGAGAACCTAACGGGTTACCGGGGCTCCGGCTCGACGTGCAGGAGAAGGAACGGGGTGGTTTTTAGTCAGTAAGAGTCTGACACTCCCTCCCGCTTCACCCAGGCGGGAGCAGTCATTCGATGATTTTCCCCACTTAAAAAAAAACTGTCATGTGTCAAAATGGCATTTAAAAAGCTTATCTTCTTATCTCTGAGACAAATAGTTACTTACTCAATGCATTTTCTTCTCATGCATCATGCCATTGTTTCCCAATAGATTTTTTAAGATCTTATCTTATGCATTACGCAATATCTTATCAATATCAGTTCAGCAGTTTAGAAGTAACGACAAACTCACTATTGCATTTGTATTAAGTACCTAGGTAATGTGTAACAATAACACATATATATAATAAATAATGTTAGACTTTGTTCATTGATCTATTTTATTAAAAAGCATTTAATAATATTGACTAACTATTATTATAATAGCTTCAAATTATAATACACAAAACTATATTATTAGTAATATCCTGAAATGAATCATACCTACATTGTATTAATTTTTTAACTCGTCGAGTACCGGTTTTGTAGACACAATTATAGAACAATAGGTTGCGGTCACCGGTGACCGCTTGGTGTTTGACAGTTTAAACATATACTTACACAACTACATAGTTACCCACAATTTTGTCCATGTAGAATAATGACTTCTGGCAGAATTTGGGTTTCTTAACTCGTCAAGTACCGGTTTTGTAGACACAATTATAGAACAATAGGTTGCGGTCACCGGTGACCGCTTGGTGTTTGACAGTTTAATAACCACAGATCCAATGTAAGGATCTTTTTGGTAGATTTTTCACACATCAGGATACATTATCGAAATTTTAACATGGTTCCATTTTTTTCTCTTTTCAAATACAGCCTATGTATCCTCATGGATAATGTAGGATTGCAATCGTAAAAGAATTTTATACCAGATATATGGGACCAATAGTTTCAAAGCCTATTTAATTCAAACAAACAATCTAAAAATCAAATCTTTCCTCTTTATAATATTAGGTAATGTTAGATACACATAGTTAGGTAGTTACTCATTATTATTTTAACAGTTTCCGTATATGTACATGTATAGATTACTAATTAATTGTTGTGCTTTTAATTATTATTATTATTTCATTTAGTTTCACTGTTATCTTTTATTTATAACAATATGTGTGTAATAAGTATATGTGTATATTATTTTGATTTTAGATGTTTATGATATTAATTTAGACCCTATTTTAGCACTTCTTTTTAAATTTATGGTGTAGGTATTAACTTGTAGATATGGTTAATTTAAATGAATTGACATACCTAACATGTCAAAATATGTTAGTTAAGATAATTTAAACTTATCTGCAGTCATGATAGCTTCATTTTGTACAAAATCACCCATATTGCTTAATAGTTTATATAAATATAATAAATAATGTGTTATTTTATCAAATTATGTTTATAAAAGTGTAGCATAAAGTTTGGTTTTCTGTATAATAAGAATTTCTGTTTGACTATATTTAAACTGTCAAACACCAAGCGGTCACCGGTGACCGCAACCTATTGTTCTATATTTGTGTCTGCAAAACTGGTACTCGACGAGTTAAGTAAAAATATTTTTAGTAATGTAAAACTTTGTATTTTTATTATTATACAATATAAAAATATATATACATATATATATATTGTTATTTGAAATTAAATAAAATGGAATTCCAGAATTTGAAATATTTCAGTTATAAAATTGCTGTTTTTATGGAAATGATATACATTTTTTTTGTTTGAAATGAATAGAAAACTTTTTTAGTAGATTTAAAATTCTTATTCAGTATAAAAAGTGAATAAGAAAATAAAATAATCTTTTATTAAATTATTATAACTAATCTAAGTTGAGATTTGGTTACAACAAAATTGGTTATGTTTATCCATATTGTATGAGAACTCAGCTGGCACATCCCAGGTTTAAATCATAACAATGATTAAAAAAAAGGGTTTAGTGTTGTAAAATTAGGAAACCAGGTATTTTCAAAACACATGTCTATTGTATTGTACAAATACATAATTTAAATGTAATGTTTCCCAAAATTATTTCATGGAATGTGTGGTAAACACAAACCTCAGAGCCTGAACATAAACATAAACATTTTGTAGTAGTTTATAATTAAGGTTTTATCTCTATGCAATTAGTCTATGGGCTCACCTGGTCGGGACAGAAGTATCCAAATGCCACCATACCAAACAGTGATAGTAGTAAACAGAATAGTATCACTTTTCGTAACTTCGATCTTGGCTCCATTTTTTTAATTTCGTAGACACCGCTCGGCAGTAACAAAGCGAAATCACTATCTACTTGCACTGAAACACTTTTTTGCATTTCGACTGAATGCATGTCTCATTTTTACAAAAATATCCCCGACCCAACACTCACGGATTATGTCTACTGTCTTTTTTCTAATACGAAAGTACATAAATTCATTGTAACATTGATTTCACATTGTTCTTATCATGCGATTATCCGACAGCGATACAGTCCGATAGCATTGTTTTGTTGATATCACTCGTAGATGTTATGCCATTAAACAAAGTCGAAAATAAAATGCGAGACGAGTGCGATACTCAAGGTGAGCTCGAGCCGACCGACTGCGACTGACACAACGCGAAGACGACTGACGGTCCCGAGACGCGACCGAAGGCAATGAACACAAACAAACAATCCCAGGGTAGAGCACATTCACGAAACACTTACACTCCCGCACCATGTTATTGTGTTGGTGTATTAAATCTAATGAATTACTTAATTTACAATAGCAGCCATGAGATTTTTATAAAAATAATCGAAATTTTTTCATCGCATATTCAATTTACACAGATTATTATGTTCCACTCGTCTACTATATGAAACTGACATTAACAAAAGTGAGCATAACGATGAAAGTGAGATAGCACTATACAGAAAACCCCGAAGAAGAAAAGAGATGCTACTATGCTGTTAAGTCAAATGTGTACAATAACGTCGAAGAAAAATATTGGAACGGAACGCTGCAGTCGTTTAGAAATAGTATCTGTCACTTTCACACAATTCACAGCTTTCACTTGACAGTTTTCTTTTTAATTTTCGTCTAAAAACTACTAAAAGGAGATTATTTTAGGTTCTTGTTGAAATCCAGGACTTTTAAAAAAAGGAGATGTTACGGAGGTAGGTAGCCATGAAAAGCTGTGGCAAATGGAGAATAAGATAGATAGGTTGTCAAAATGCAATATGTTCAAACTTGTTTCACATATTTCTTCTATAGAATTTGTCTCGTTAAGACGTGACTTGTGCTGTCTTTATTTCTTTTTCAAAAGCTTGGTAGGTATCATAACGAATGCTGCCAGTTGTCACGCAGCATCCACTCATTTCTCAATGAACTCTCATGTTCCATAGTAAGTCTACGATTCAAACCATATCTGTAGGTACTTAGTTTATTTTCCTTGTCTCACAGTCGCTTAAAATTTTATCTACTTCCTAATAAAATCATGCAAAATTAGAAACACGGGCAGCAAGACAGCAATTTTCTCTTCAGTAATTTAATTTTTGTTTACCCACTCACAAAGTCGATTTGAGTGCAAAGATTTGGAAATTCTCGTCTTTTTATTACATGAATACTGTGCATATCTTCAAACTATAATAAATTAGGAACCTATTGTAATAGAGATCGATATTACTTACCGCCTACCGGTTCATCAAGCGAGATTGAAAACTAATAAAATTTTGAAAACCTAGCAATAACCACCGGGAATCAAACCCGAGACTCAACTGTCAACAATAACACAGCGAGTTATTATTAGTCTTGATATCTGTCCGATTCCTAGACAATTGATGTCGTAATTATATCCATTCTGAAATTCAAATTACATTTCTGGTCACATCTATTGACCCACCTTAGAGTTTAGGTTTCGATCATCGATTTCGAATATCAACTACTTTTAAATAAACAGAAAATACCTAAGAAGAGCGCCCTTCTCAAGTTAAACGTATATTTAGATGATAAAAATATCATTCGAGTAGGAGGACGTCTCGATAATTCTAGTTTTAATTTTAATAAAAAGCACCCCATTGTATTACAGTCCACTCATACTTTTACCAAATTATTATTTAATTTCGAGCATAGGAGGCTATTGCATGCTGGTCCACAGTTATTACTGGCTTCCATTAGGGGGAATCTTACTGGCCAATAGGAGGTCGCAACTTGGCAAGATTATGCTATCATAATTGCGTTCTGTGTCGACGATTGAAGGGTACAGTCGTCACTCCCATAATGGGTAACTTACCTTCAGAACGCCTTCGTCCAGGTTATCCCTTTGAGAGCACTGGTGTTGATTACGCCGGGCCTATCATGTGTGCCAGTCGTCAAGGCCGTGGATGCAGGCTAGTAAAGGTGTATATCGCAATTTTTATTTGATTTACAACCAAGGCGATTCACTTGGAGCTTGTTGGTGATTTATCTAGCAATAGTTACTTACTAGCTTTGCATCGATTTATTTCTAGAAGAGGTAAACCAAGTAATATATTTTCTGACAATGGTACCTCATTTGTTGGTGCGTACAACGACTTATCTAAGTTCTTAAAAGCTAATAGCTCGTCCTTGGGTGAAAGTGCAGCGAATGATGGAATAAAGTTCCATTTTATACCCGCATACACTCCACATTTCGGCGGACTCTGGGAGGCAGGAGTGAAGTCAACAAAATATCATTTGCAAAGAGTGTTGGGCAATTGTAATTTGACATTCGAAGAGCTTTACACTGCACTCACTAAAATTGAAGCGGTTTTGAACTCTCGTCCATTAACGCCATTATCATCAGATCCTGTGGATTATACTCCACTGACGCCGGGTCATTTTCTTGTTGGGAGACCCTTGACTTCTCTACCGCAGCCTGACTACCGGGATCATTCTATGAACCATCTGTCTCGATTTCAAAGAATAGAGCAACTACGCCAGCATTTCTGGAGCAGATGGAGCAAGGAGTATGTAGCCGAATTGCAGGTGCGAACCAAATGGCACTCCTCTAAAGATGCTCTAAGGCTGAACACCTTGGTGGTGATTAGGGAGGACAATCTTCCTCCTTTGAAGTGGAGACTTGGACGAGTTGTGGCTGTTCACCCAGGAACAGACGGCATTGTTCGGGTAGCTGACATCCAGACGTCTACGGGAGTCATTCGGAGGGCGTTCAACAGGATCTGCCCACTGCCCGTGTCTTCGGATGAATCTTGTTGAAACCGACGCTTTCAAAACCCGGGGGAATGTACGAGCGCCTGCTGGATATACCATAGCAACGACGTGTGCTTAGTATAATGTTAGCAATTAAGTAACTAGTATATTTATTTGTATTTATTTTGTATGTACCGACGCTAATTTCTTCACTTGCTGTGCTGTACTCGTTGAGTTAACACCTCATTAAATTTCTACTTGCTGAGTATTCTTTGAGTCTTTTCCTGCGAAGCCCTGGCCAATACAGGCCCCTACCGAAATATGATTGCTAGATTGAACAAAAACTATTGATGCAGTTTTAAACCTGATACATTTTACCACCTATTTCGATCGTATTGTTTTAAATTTGAATTCAGAATACCATACGACATGGAGCTACGCCTAACAATTCGGATATGCGTCTTGTTAAAGGCATTTGATTTTTTAATATAAAACATGTTATAAGAAATAGCGGTTTACTTTAATAACGCGGCTCCAATCTTGCTGTGTCCAATTTAAACTGTCAAACACCAAGCGGTCACCGGTGACCGCAACCTATTGTTCTATAATTGTCTACAAAGACGGTACTCAACGATAACTGCGTGCGAAATGAAGGTGTTCGGTGGGCTCGCGTTAGTTTGGGCCCATTAGCTGGCTTGTGTGGTATTATATCGCATTCTTTTAACCTTGTCCGAACAGTTCCAGCGCTCACAGATACTCCGTAGAAGTCGCGAAGTTGGTTTTGTATCTCAATGGAGGTAAGGTGACGTTTTCTCAAGCTGGTCGTCACCATGAATCGAAGCCGCCAGTCTCTAGGTACCTCCGATAAACATTTCGGACCACAGATCGATTTAAATTAAGTTGAGTACTCACGTTTCTTTGGCTGTGTCCGGCCTGAATAAGTGCCACAGCTCTGGCGGCGACTTCAGGTGAACTATTCATAGATTATTGATAGAACCTCACCCCAATGTTAAGAATAAGTACCTAATGTTTGTTGAAAAACCAAAGATATCAATCACTTTTTCAAGAATTAAATCCAAGTAAACCAATAAAACCAAGTTGTCTTAGTATTCGATTGTTTGATAGCAACAAACAGGCTCCAAACTGTCTTTTGTTTCTTTTAAATTCCGTGTTCGAAATTTAAAAAAAGGCTATTGAATGAAATTGTGAATGTGCCAGGTTCAAAACTGCATAAAAACTTTTTGCTCGACCTAATATCAGTTAAGACCAAACGAAACTGAAATTACAAGGTGGGCCAATAGATGTGTCTAGAAGTGTATTAGGAAAATGAATGCGTCATGCTATTACTTATACACTTCAGAGAACTTTCACCAGTTTTTTTCAGGTTTATTGCATTATTTCAGTTTTACTATCTCTACTTTAGTTGCTATAGGTTTAGGGAACTTTAATCAAAACTGTCGACTAAATAATAAAGAGATTCGGCTTCATTCATTATAATGAATAAAATGGAATAAAAATATCGTATGGTGGTCTCTTGGTATAACGTCAACAACATTTTCATATACAAATAACTTTTCTGCTATTTAACATAACTAATAACATCTACATTAATTAATATCTAATAGACACACAAACGATAATTTTATGAATGGCTGGATAAAATAATAATTAACAAATTCAATGACAGGCTTTAATCCAGTATCACTTCTAAGAGAATTTCATATAGAAGTTACATAATTTTTAAAATCAATTCTTCATGTTATTAAAGAAATCAGTTTTCTTACTAAAACAGAATACAAACTAAAAAAATATGTAAAACAAAGGACATATCTATAATGCATTAGCAAAATTAACTAGAAATTAGTTTCAGGTATTAATAGAATACCATTGTGGCACTACTCCTAGACTTCTACACAAATCAAGAACAGATTCAAAATATTTCATTTATTGTAAAACGAAAAGGCACTTTAAAATTAAGGTGGGGGGCAAATGATACATGAATAAAAATATAATTAAGGTCAGAACAAGTTATAATGGAAATTTCTTTTTGTTTTGTCATCAATTTCTCTCGTCACACTGTAGTTTCACTTAAAAGTAGAAAATATGTTAAGTTCTTTTTTTATAATATATATGTACACATGTTAAAAAATTCAACAAGGAACAATCCATACATACCTACAACTTAGAAATAATTATGTGATCAGAATCTTCTCAAACTAGGTCACAAGAAACTTTAAAATAAAGGTGTCATTTCACTCCATGATATTGCAATATTAGGTCATTTTCAGCAAATGTAAATATTGCCATATCGAAATTAAGTAAATCTGTAAGCAGCACATGGAGTAAAACCAAACTCAATGCCACGAGAGAACTCATACACAACTGTCCATTATATTGATGTAAAAAAATTTATACAAAAGGTCCACACCTTATTTGATTACAATTTCTGCAATATAAAAGTTATAATTCACCACTGATATTATCAGCTTTTCATATATTTAATGAATATCATAGACACTTTGATGCCAAGTTATTGTAACACTCAGTCAGCGCACAATGTGTAGATATTTGTATCAACGTTTGTAACTTCACCAGTCCCTAACAATAGGATCAACTCCTCTCACCACAGAATTTTCTAGTTATAAAAATTACTATATTTTATCGATTCAGTCCACAAATTTGAAATAAAGTCCACAATTCCA